TCATGTATTTATTTATTCACTTATGTATGTATGTATTTATTCATCTATTTATTTATTTATTTATTTATTTATGTATGTATGTATGTATGTATGTATGTATGTATGTATGTATGTATGTATGTATGTATGTATGTATGTATGTATGTATGTATTTATATATTTATTTATTTATTCATCTATTTATGTGTCTATGTATCTATGTATGTATGTATCTATGTATTTATATATTTATTTATTTATTCATCTATTTATTTATGTATGTATTTATTTATTTATCTATCAATTCATGTATGTATGTACATATTTATTTATTTATTTATTTATTTATGTACATATTAATTTATTAATTAATTTATTTATGTATTTAAATATTTATTTATTACATTTAACCAACAAGATACACATTTTGTCATTTCAAGCAAAACAAAATATCACGTTAAATATTTTTAAATGCTCATGATCGCATGATTTGAACTAGTAACTCCCTGCTATAACTTCAAATCCATCAATAAAAAGATGCTGGACTGGCTAATTTACTTTCAGGCCTCTAAAGAGAACTGCTAAACTTCATGGCATCACACACACACATACACACACAAAGTCCCTCCATCCCTAAAGATTTTACACAGGAAAACGTTAGCAGATTCACAATTAAGGGCTGAGAAATCACGTCTAAAATGTCCTGGCTAAAATCATATCATATCAACTCCAATATGTGTGATGTTGCTCTTCTACACAATAGTGGATCAGTGTCTATAATGTTAGTGTGTGCAACATGAAATGAACTGGTCGAACTGGGAGTGGTTGCACCTAATGACTGTAAGGCGTGAATAAAAGCAAGTGTCCGTTACAGCACCTGTCCATCTGTGTGAAGAGGGATGTGCATGTGTATGACACACACATTGCGGTGCACCAGCGCTCCGTTTCATACCGGAATTCAGCCAGCAGCCCTGTATCCTGATGTGGTGAAAACCAGGCCTGCAAGGCATTCTGGGTATAGGAGGGGGAGATGGGTTATTCACACTACAACATCTTCACACACTTTCACTGACATTCACAAATGGATGCACCAAATTTACACACACACACACACACACACACACACACACACACACACACACACACACACACACACACACACACACACACACACACACACACACACACACACACACACACACACAGATTCCCTCATAATTAGGGTTAATATCAAGACAACAGTTTGCTTTTATGGAGCGAGATCAGTCTCAAAAATAATACATTTACAAACTAAAAATCATTCATGCACAACACAATTCACATTAACAACACTGAATTTTTAAATACACAATTTGTGAATTCACTATTTAAAAGCATGCATTTTTCTGCAAATAAATTGTATTTCTGTTTTTGAATAATGTTTTAAACTTATGAATTGGATGTGTATTTTTCAAAATCGTGTTTTGAACTTACGAATTGGATTTGTGTAGTTTTGAATCGTATTTTAAACTAACGAATTTAATTTGTGCAGTTTTAAAATCATATTTTGAACTTACAAATTCATTCATTCATTTTCTTGTTGGCTTAGTCCCGTTATTAATCTGGGGTCGCCACAGCGGAATGAACCGCCAACTTATCCAGCACGTTTTTTTTAAGCTGCAGATATCCTTCCAGCCGCAACCTCTCCCTGGGAAACATCCACACCCTCATTCATTCACACACTCATACACTACGGACAATTTAGCCTACCAATTCACCTGTACCGCATGTGTTTGGACTGTGGGGGAAACCGGAGCACCCGGAGGAAACCCACGCGAACGCAGGGAGAACATGCAAACTCCACACAGAAACGCCAACTGAGTCGAGCCGAGGTTCGAACCAGCGACCTTCTTGCTGTGATGCAACAGCACTACCTACTGCGCCACTGTGACCCGAACTTACGAATTGTATTTTGTAAATGTAACATTTTTGAGACTGATCTGGCTCCATATGCTTTCAGATATAAACTTCATTCTCATACGGAATTGCCAATAATTCAATAGTAATGTAATTGAAATGTAACTGAATAACATTTCATAATTGAAGTCTTTATTTTGTGATATTTATGTTTAAATATGGTTTCATAAAATATCGACAACATATGTGGTCTTCTAATTAATATCAAAGGGAAAAAACATTAGGTTTGTGTAAAATTCAAAGAACTAAAATGCAGGTCCGCTCTATAAAATACGTACTCATAACTTTCAGTGATAGTTAGCTGATGCCTGGTAACTGTTGTTGGGTGGTTTACTGTATTGTAGTTAAAGTTTGATATTTTCTTCTGGTCATGTGCCCAAGAAAAGGAAAATATGACTGACAGGTTGTTACTGCAGTATGCTGTTAATACTGCCTTCCTGATTCTCTTTTGCGGAGGAAATGAACAGCAATTAAGGAATCTGGGCAGCATTGTTGAGCTCATGCTGTTACACTGAGAGAGAGAGAGAGAGAGAGAAGGGGAGAGAGAAAGAGAGAGAGAGAGAGAGAGAGAGAGTGAGAGAGAGAGAGAGAGAGTGAGAGAGAGAGAGAGGGAGGGAGGGAATAAGAGAAAAAGTTTTAATGTGCCCATCTCTTTTTTTTTAAATTAAATCTTAATATTTGTTTCAAGCATATGCATCACCAGTTCCTTGTTTTATTTAAGGGACCCAGATTGCACAACGACCTGCCATTCCATATAAATGTATACTGGTTAACCTAAAAAAACTTTTTTTTCAATTTAGCTCTTCCATATATTCACGTAGTATATATAAATGAATGTAAAATAAATAGATGAGCAAAGTTTTTTTATTTTAAACATTGTCTAAACTTTGTCAAACAGCTTTAAAGACAAAGGTTAAGATAGGCAAAGTTGCTAGATGTAATTATGCACATTTAAAAATAAAGGTTCCAAAGAGGGAGCGGGGTGGTGGGTCCAAAGAACTATTTTTGATTCCCTAAACCAAAACGTTCAGTACTTATAACTTCATTAACAGTGATTACAATATAAAAGTTCAAATGTCTTGTATTAACTCTAAATACCACCTCAGGGGTTTTCCATTGAGCATTTCAATGAGTGCCCAAAGGTTAAAATGACTTATTTTTCTACAGGGTTAAGAATATTTGAATATTGCAAAGAACCTTTTGGGCTAAAGAACCTTTTGTCCAATGAAATTTTTTTTTTTTTAATGTTAAAGGTGTTTCATGGAACCATTACGAAGACGAATCAAGAATGTTTACTTGTTACTATGAACTTTTTATAAAAGAAAAGTTTACTATTTAAGCTACCATTTGATTTAAGCAAAACCAGAAAAAAAGACAATTCTGAATGGCGATGACAAGCAGTCTTGTGTAAGATACTTAAAAAAACATTATTAAAATTAGATTTAAATTGCATTTCTAATTACTTAAATTAATTAATTACTCAAAGGAATTTAATTATTTGACTCAAAACTAAAAAACGCTGTAAATCTCAACAAATATAAGATAGAATTTAAATTATTTTAATTCTTTAACCCATTATTGGGCGAAGAACTATGGTGCCTGCATTGACATTGATCACAATATACAGTTGAAGTCAGAATTATTAGCCGCCTGAATAAAACATTTTTTTTAATATATATTTCCCAAATGATGTTTAACAGAGCAAGGAAATTTTTACAGTATGTCTGATAATATTTTTTCTTCTGGAGAAAGTCTTATTTGTTTTTAGATATTATTATAATATAGGCAGCCTCGGCTCAGTTGGCGTTTCTGTGTGGAGTTTGCATGTTCTCCCTGCGTTTGCGTGGGTTTCCTCCGTGTGCTCCGGTTTACCCCACAGTCCAGACATGCAGTACAGGTGAATTGGTAGGCTAAATTGTCCTTAGTGTGTGAATGTGTGTGTATGGATGTTTCCCAGAGATGGGTTATGGCTAGAAAGACATCCGCTGCGTAAAAAAAAAACTTGCTGGATAAGTTGGCGGTTCATTCCACTGTGGCGACCCCGGATTAATAAAGGGACTAAGCCGACAAGAAAATGAATGAATTATATAGGCCTATTTACAACGCTCCAATGATTATTTTAATGAGTGCGAAAAGGGTAAAATTTCAGTCAAACATGGCGTTATAAAAACATTTTGATATAAGCATTTTAATAAAAAAGCTGCTGCTCTGGATTGACTTAAACAGATTTGATGAATCTAGGCCTATTTACAGTATTTAAGGAAATATAGGCTACCGCATTACACCTTAAAATGAAGAGTATCGCTTCCTTTACGCTTAAGTAGGATAATTTAATTGCAGTAATATTTACTTTGTAACTAGTTGCAACCAACACTGGTGGCAAGCGATGTGGAGGAATGTCATCTCTCGCTCCCTCTCTCTCTCTCTTTCACTCATCAAAGTGATGGACAGATCTTATGAGAGTCAGGGTAGGTGGTCAGCGGTTTCGTGTTGTCATTGACCGCGCACGAGACGGATCTGCCGAGACAGACAATACGCGCGCGCTGGCCAGAAACTTATTCCCTGAATAATTAAAGCTCAGTAGAAGTCGATGGAGGACGTTGTATTGCTTCGTTTAAGCAAAGGAGAAAAAAAAAATACTCACCTCACCTTGAGCAAATGTTTTGCCACTTTCTCTAGGAGCTACTTTGTCTTTAATCTTATCAACTCCGATCATTTTTTCTCAAGATGCGAGTTCACTGCCAGTGCAATACAATACAATTATTGTCTGAGATAAAGTTCAATAAATGAGTTTGTCTATATGTCGTATAGCATCTTTTAAGTGCTAAACATTTTCAGAATGCCTTAACAATTACTAATATCCATTTAAACAAGCATTATTTTAAGCGAAATGTGAATTAATCAAGCATAAACATGAAACCAATTAATAAATATAGACGCGTGGTGTAAATTAGGTTTCAGGTGTCAAGCTGGAAAAACGGTGAATTCTTATTGGCTGAAGACTCATTTATCCTGCCGGGAGGAGTCTGCCCTCTGCCTCTGCTTCATATACAACTCTTTTGCACGCTGGTTTTGACAGATCTCTCGTGTGACCACCTGTGCCTGTCATCCTGATGCGGATCCCTGTACCTTTTGAACTGTAGGCGTGTGCCATGAAGTTGGAGTGACGAGATAGATAAGGTCGGTAACTGTTCTTGGATTATTTTCAACGCACGTTTTTGTTTGCTTTCCATGATTTTGGTTTCAATCATGATTTAAAGATGTACATTAGTTCACACCAAGACAGCGGTGGTGATCAGCTGTGGTATCTCTAGGTCATCGACGCGTGCATCCACTTAAAAGTGGGGAAGTGATAAAAACCGTATTGCGTTTAAGGAGACACGCGAACTCCTGGTTTCACATATTCTTGTTAGCCTATAGCGTTTACGCAGTCGTATTATATAACTTAATCTAAAGTATTCAAGAGAACAAAACACGCCGGATGAACTTGGAATAACTTGTCAAGCTTTTTAATCGCACAGGAACATCGGCATCCCTGTCCTACTGAAAAGAGAGATGATGGATGCCCCAGCGGAACCCCGGTGGATGATGCATGCTCATCATTCAGCCATGATGGGCACCTCTGATTCGGTGTCTCCTCATGCAGGTCTGGGACATCATAGTTCGGGCTATATGGAGCCAGGTGCCCCATTATTACAACCAGACGAGGTGGATGTATTTCTCAGCCATTTGGACTCTCAGGGAAACCCCTACTATCATACACACGGGTCCCGTGCACGGATGTCTTACAGCCAGACGCATGGTGAGTAGGCCTGCGTGGAGATCTAACCTTTTTGTCAGTGTCGCTTTTTATATTTTAGAAGAATTTTGAATCAACGGATTGTTTTTTTTTTTTTTTTGATTTCCACAATACTAAAAATTGCGCCTGCATTTTTTTACACGATTGTCAGACTTGAAAGCAAATATTTCATCTGCGAGAGAATTTTCTTATATTACTCTTAATAGTAAATGATTAGTATTTATTTAGCCTACAAATAAATAATTATATGGCAGTCTAGTTCTCACCTGGTGTCAATTTCAATGAAAAGATCAGATTATACGCAAATTGTTTTCTCACCGCAATTATTGTGTTAAAATATTACAAATGAAATATACTATTTTACATGTTTTAAACTTTAATACCAATTAGCCTACACTATTATGATATACCGTATATCATACGAACTAACTTGCTTTTTTGGTAAAGGCTAGATTTTTTAAATAAATACATTAATGAAATACAAAATATCGTTCAGAGGTAAAGAAAAACAACCAAAAAATAAATAAATCGGAATTGAGGGTATTAATTTTTAGGTAATGTTCTCTTTTGGTTTCAATCCTATATAGCTATAAAGATTATGCTAGGCCTATTTCAAATGGCATCAAATGTTTCACAGAGAACATTTAATAAAAGTTTAATTACTCCACAGGGCAAAATACCTTTATGATAGATTTTTGATATTTTAGGATTCTTTTTTATTTATTATTTTATTAAATTTTATAGACCAAGACAATTTTCTTTACATGGAAAATAGCCTAAATGTTCTCATAGTACTACACATTCTGGTAAAACAATTCACACAATTGTTCCAAATCAGTCAACTTGTCAATCACTTTTAATTTTTGCGATTTAAAACATTTTTGAGCTTCCTCAGTGGACTGCGTGTAGACAAGCCTATTTATCCAGCCTAGTTTAACATCGTGATTAAACATGCAAAACTGAACTGACTTTGGCAATGCACGTGTAAGACTATAACTTTTTTTCTTTTTGCCAGCACGCCTTACGGGTGGCTCAATGTGTCGACCTCACCTTATCAACACTCACGGTCTTCCTTTACTGGACAACAGCAAATCGACCTTTTCTACAGCTCAGCACCACGGCTCATGGACCGTCAGCCACCTGGGCAAAGCGGTTCTGCATTCAGCAGGCGCCGAATCCTCCAACGGCCTGTACGCAGGCACCGGTGCGCCGGCCTCGGGTCCGATGCCGTGCCTGTCGATGACGCAACACTGCAGCGCACAGCTCTACTGCCTGCCGCCCACCCCGCCCAAAGATGTGTCCCCGGACCCGGCCTGTGCCGCGGTGAGGGATGCCGGGAAGTACCATCTCCATCTAGTCGACGGGATGAAGATGGAGTGCTCCAGTCCAATCCGTAGCAACCCGCATCTGGCGCAAACGACAACCCCTATACCTTCATATCCCGATTACTCAGTAGCCGGAGCGCACGAGTATCCCGCCAGTGTGTTCCACTCCAGAAATCTGCTCGGAAACATGACGACAAAATGCAAAAGTAAAAACCGCGCTTTCTCTGGTGAGTTCAGATTTCATAGCGGAAACTACAAAAGGTAATAATCAGTCCAAAGTTAGCCTTTTATTTTCTATATATTAGCAAGTACTGAATGATGAAGATGTTATACTTTTGAATCAATGCAAAGCATGAGAAGACGCAATGCAATGAATTGCAGTATTTGTAAATGTAATAACATGATAAGCAGGTTTAATTTTGACACCAATATTTAAATAAAAATGCACTAGTTACTAAATAAACTATTAATAATTATAATGACATAAATAGGCTAATTCGCCTATTTAAGTTGTTTTATTTTATTATGGTAACAAACCTACTTTATTTACTGACTTTTTGGGATGTCAAATAATTCAGCTCACACTGTAAAAAATGCAGGGTTCCACACAATTCATTCATGTTGTCCCAACACAAATCTAATAAGTTAACTTTTAACACTTTTAACAAATTTATGTAGATTGAACATAAAACAAATAAGTTGTCCCAATGAAATCTCAATAAAAAAATATTTTGGGTGCAACCAGCTACACAATTCTATCTTGACAATGAATATCAATGTACAAAATTATCAGTTAACACTTGATCTATGAGAGCAACACATTCAAAATAAGGTATTTACCTGTACAGTTGCTTCCTGTGTGCAATTTTTAACCCACCAAAAGATGGCACTTGTAGAAATGACCGAAAGAACTGAAAAGTAAAAGTTTTAATAATCAGTCTGTATTAAATAATGTCAGCACAAATAAGCTGTTTTCTTTACCACCCCCCCTCCCCCCCTCTCTCTCTCTCCTAATGCGCATCGTGTGCCAATAGGACGTGAATGTGTAAATTGTGGAGCTACGTCGACTCCTCTGTGGCGGAGAGATGGCACAGGTCATTATCTGTGTAATGCATGTGGACTCTACCACAAGATGAATGGGCAGAACAGACCTCTCATCAGACCCAAGCGCAGACTGGTATGTCCCACACACCTACACACTTCTGATCCACACCATTACACAGTTCAAGCACAACCAGTAAAAGACACCACTAACAGGAAACTGAAACCTGCTCTAAACAACCTATATTGTGTTCAAGCAGTTATGATCAGTTTATGTAACATTGTTCTGTTGTCTGAGCTATACAGGATCAGCCATACAAAGCCTTTTATAATATGACAGTGCCATTGTCTGTGAATAATGTCTGAACACTACTGACAAAGAAGATGGTTCATGAGGTTTAGACAATAGTAACACATTTAAGGAAAACTGCCATGCATTTCCGAAAAGTATTATGATATCTGTTCACACTGCAAGGACGGAGAGAGAATGTGCACAAAAAAAAGGAAAGAGAGGGACAGAAAAAAAGAGAGAAAAGCACATGTCTGGGTGTGTGTACTGGACCATGGCCCTATTGACGGGTTTAAATAGCAAGTAATGAATTAGAATTCATTAACATGAAGTGTAAACTTGACCAGAAATCAGATACTTCTGCTATTCCTGACTGGCCTATATCATCTTACCTTAATTTGAGTATTCCTCGACTGCAATGTTAAAAACTCAGCTTCTCCAAAGATATTTTCAAGTTGAAAGACATTTTGCCGTGAATATTTTTTCAGCTTTCTATCACCTTTATAGACGTCTGCTGAAATGGTTAGTCACAAAGCAGCAGCACATTCAAAAAGGAAACATAATAAATCTGCTTGAAAGTGACTGTGTTTTGTTTAAGATGGTATTAGCTGTAAATTAGGCTTGAGTCAGTGTGTGACGAGTGCTTCTGCACCAGCTACAGGTCGTATATTTAAAGAGCAGAGACAGCTCGGTCCATTTGTTTCCTTGGCAGGATGTCTGCCCGGTACCGATAACTTTGTGAGACCCGAAAATGCTTCCTTTTGTGGTTGTTTTCTAGCCGTGTTTTCTTCCAGCATGTTGAGTGCCTACTTTACCTGTATAGTTCTGTGAATTTATGGTGCACTTCTGTTTGACCTGAGGAATTTGAGAAACAAGTAATAGATTCTGTCCAGCATGATCCTGCTTCTTTGATCATTTTCTTATTTTTTAATTGAATTCTAAAAAAAGTATTTGTAATTTTTGTTTGTCCATATTTAATTGTTTATGTCAAACTTCATTTTAAGATGTCAATGTTTCATGTACTTACTATAGTAATTACAATTAATTATGCATAATTATATGCAAGTGTCCCTAAAACTAGCCTGCCTTAACACTAACCACATAGTAAGTACATGTAATTATTAATTCATATTACTCAGAAGTCAGTTGAAGAGTTACACTGTAACAATGAGACCTTAAAATAAATTGTAAACTTGTTAATTTAAATAGTTTCTGTATTTATGTTTTCCTTGCCTATTTAAACTATTTATTTAAACATTTTTAATGCTCTTGCTTTGTACACAAAGCTGCATTCAGTTTGTTAGGTTTGCATCTTCTTGAGAAAAGAATACTGTAAAGACTATACAGATATCTTAAGATGTTATTGTATCGGTTAGACAGTTGTGTCATTAAGTTGAGTTGTGCTTTTTTAACAATTAATTACTGGATTGTATACAGTAACAGTAAGTAACAAGGGTTAAGATTAGGTTCAGAGCTAGGTTTAGAGATAATACCTATAGTTATTAAACAATTTATTTATTCATTATAAATACGCATGTGCGAAACAGAACTGTAAAATAAAGTGCTACCACAATTTGCTTCAAGCTTTTAAGATAACATTTTGTGCATCTCTGTGGTGCAGTCTATGTCCAAAAGAACAGGACAGGTTCAAATTTTTCAAAACAGGACATTCCAAACAGGATTTGGAGTCTCAATCTTCATATTATTGTTATGGGGTCTAACCACAGCTCTATTCATTTGTCTTTCAGTAAGGTATAATGCGTAATACGATACTCTGCACAGTAGACAAATCAAAAATATAATGTACTGAAATTAAAGAGGAGTAATATACTGAAAGTTTTAAGAACTGAAAATACATTTTTGTACATGCATGCTATTTTATATTGTACATTTTAGTTCCAATAACCGTCTTGAATTTTATGATTTCATTTATGAATCAGACAAGCAGTTGTAAGTAAATATTTGTATGCTGAAGTGACCAGATTTAGCATTTCTTCAGATTTTTGTTCACAACCCTTACGTTTAGTAATTGATCAATTTCAGATGTTTTGATCTTTGTCTTAATGTGTTTGTATGTTGCAGTCAGCATCTCGACGAGCAGGCACCTGTTGTGCCAACTGCCAGACTGGGACCACCACACTCTGGAGACGCAATGCCAACGGAGAACCCGTCTGCAATGCCTGCGGTCTATACTACAAACTACACAATGTGAGTACATTTGTATGCGCCAACGCCGAATATAAACACAAAATTGCAGATTCAATTTACTCTACTGCACATAAGATGGCAAATTTTTAATAATAAAAATAAAATAGGTCTGTTCACCTAATCACATTTGCGTATGGATTAGAGTCTATGAATATTAAACTGCAAAAAACTATTTAAACATGAAGTCTATGCAAAGTCAGGAAGGTATGTTCTGTCTTCCTGAGATATGATGGCAGTTTTTTTATACTACACATACATTTCTTAAGTATGTGTAATGCTGCTCTAATAGGCACTTCATAAGTATTTTGGCTTTTTAATTAAGAATTCTTATTTTTATATCATGTTTGCCCAGGCACTCAAGCATCTTGACAAACTCCTTTCATAATTAAACATCAGGGCTCAACAATAAGGATTGACCGATGGCCTGGGGCCAGCGTGAGGGATGTTCGGGACAGTAGAGAGAATTGTTACTGGCCCGATCAGGCCAGTGCTGCCATGTCACAAAATTTGAATTTGCCTTTGACTATTTGTCAATTGCGTGCATATATAAAGTTTTAGAATTGAGAAACAATTTGTGCTTTTAAGTCTTTGAATGTTTTGCCTTTTCTATGAAGTCGTAAACCCCATATTGCTTTTTGGTTCCTTTTATCTGATTGGATGTTGTGAGCACATTATTTCTTTACATAACCTGGTAAAAACCGGTAAAGTGAAGAGACGGCAACATCAAATTATGAGGCTAAAAGAAAACGTTGGTTTCTAAAGTTGTGGAATCAGATATTTACATGGGCACAACATGATGAAAAAAATAAAGTGATGTTTTGCATAGTTTTCTGTCACTTTTAGGTCAGCCACCTTTTGTTTTGCAACAAAATACCTGCACATACAACTTTTATTTTACTGCTAAATATTAAAAAAATATATATATTTAAATTCTAGATTTACAGGCATTATTTTTGACACATCATTTAAAATATGTGGCTAAAAATTAGCTATTTTTTATTGAATTCTTTTTAGTGGGGCCAGTGAAAATTTTGGCAGGGCAAGTAAATATCTGAACCAGTGGTCCAATCAGGCCAGTAGAAAATATCCTTAGCTTTGAACCCTGAACGTTGGTTTATCTTGATTAATTTAAGAAATATTGACAAAAAGACATGTAACAATTACAGAGCACTGCAAGAAAGAAAGAAAAAAATGTGGGCACAAAATCATTTGTTTCCTTATTTTAAAAAGAAAAATATGTTATTTTCGTCCCTAGAGGGTACAAATTCACAACAAACAAAAACATAGTTTTAATGACGCCATGGCACCAGTGTGGAATCATGGGAGTTGTCATCTTCATGACATCCTACAGGTTTTCTGAAATCGTTTATGGATGAGTTAAACCATTTGAAACTTATTATCATGGTAATATGAAGCAGAGTAAAGGTGATTGCACATTAAATCCAAAATTTTTATCTGTAATTTTCGCACGTAAAAAATAAATTTGAACTCACGTTGTGTCAGTCGTATTACCACACTCCCTCCGAAACTTTCGTCTGTCATAAAAAAATCTAACCATGTTAGATTATTTCTGCTTTTCGCATCCAAAAAAGCACATTGAGAGCTGTTTTGACATGTCAGAGCCACCGTACAAGCAAAAAGCTAAATACAGAATGTGGTCACTTGAGCTACAGATACTTTTATGACAAACAGTGCATAAAATAAAGACAGAATGTGGCAAACAGTTGAGAATCCCTATGCTTGATTAAGTGACTGGCAGACCTCTGCCCTGCTGCAGATTGGTGTATGTGTGTGTTCATACATTTGACGTACTGCTCATAGCCATTATAACAGAAAGAATGGTCCGCTTTTGGTCCGTTGCTTCGACACGTCAATGCGGCACCCATCTATTATAATGTCTATATGTACTGCCAGTCTCTGTTCAGGATTTGTTCACGTACCAAGATTCCACTAATTTTCTGAACTTCGAGATAATCCAGCTCAGCTCTTTTTTAGTGAGCTAAACTCTCCTTTCTTTCTATGCAGTATTGGATGAACGTAAAGTAATTGGATGAATGTATAGCCTATTCCTCTTTCTGTTTCTACTTTGGAGAAGAGAGAGGAAAACAAAGTATCACTGCTCAAACTGACTCCAAAATGTATTGCATTTTCTTCATTATGGATCAACTAACACGCATCGCATTCAGTGTGCAAGGTTTGTTTACGTGACAAGTTTTTCTCATATGAATACGAAAAAAACACATACGAAAATTTCGAACTTCAGTGTGCAAACACCTTAAGGTTGAAAGCTGTCGAAGCGTGATCGTTGAAGCAATGGCTGATGAGAGATGAGCGTGATGTTGCAGGAAATCAGCAGAGCTTTTATTATGCCACAGTCAACTGCTTCCGGTTGCGATTACATAGGGAAGAAACAGCGCCATTTTATCATATAAATACATTTTAAGGTTCTGCTTTATTGTGTTTTCATGTTTTATATAAATAAAAAATTTAAGGAGGTATGACGTGTTTAGCATTGCAACACAGGACACGGTCCATGTCAATAGTTAAATTGGCTTGTTTCTCTGGGTTTGAACATTCTTCTAAACATAATGTAAGATAATGTTAGCAAAATATATAACTGTTCTAGTGTTTTTTTTTCCATATATATATATATATATATATATATATATATATATATATATATATATATATATATATATATATATATATATATTCTTTTTTTATACAAAAATCTTACATATTGTACCTTTAAATAAATCATGTGCTTTTATGTGATTATGCATGCCCTTATTCTAGGTAGATTGTCCACACAAAATAATTATTTGCTGTAACTTCTGTCCATGTGTGCATTTTCATAACTCTCTTACCACTTATACAGTCATACACTATACAGTTGAAGTCAGAATTATTCGCCCCCCTTTCTTTTTTCAAATAAATAATGATCCTAAATGATGTTTAACAGAGCAAGGACATTAACACAGTATGTCTGATAATATTTTTTCTTGCGGAGAATGTCTTATTAGTTTTATTTCGGCTAAAATAAAAGCAGTTTTTAATTTTTTTTAAACACCATTTTAAAGGACAAACTTATTAGTTTGATTAGTATGATCATTAGTCATTAGTATAATTATTTTGTGAAAACATTTTTACTTAATAAATAAATCTGGGCACAATCTAAATTTCTTCTTGCAAGTCGTGTGTGCTAAAATCTTGACTTTAATTGCAAAAAAAGTTAACCAAAATTTAAATAGAAAAAAAGATAAACAGAATTTAAAAGTACAAACATTTTACATTTGGCTATTACAACAAATTTTATATACAGACTTTAACTAAGTGAATGATAGAATTTGTTTTTTGTGCTAGTAATAAAAATTGCACTATTGACTAATACTGCGTAAATGGTTTACATTATTTTATTGTGTATATGTGCATTTAGGTGAATCGCCCACTTACTATGAAGAAGGATGGTATTCAGACACGCAACAGGAAGATGTCTGGCAAATCTAAGAAGAGGAGAGGAGAACACTTTCACCAGTTTGACAGTTGTGTGCACGACAAACCATCCTCCTTCAGCCACATGGCTAACATTCACCACCCATTCAATATGACTCCGCAAATACAATTACATCCTGCATTCAGTCACAGCAGCTTAGTCACTGCTATAGGCTGAGAGACACCTGTAGAAGACAACACTTACTGTCTCCATTCTTTGGTTTTACTGTACAGGACATTTCATTAACATTTCAGATGTTTATTATGCAAGGTTCAAAATTTGGTCTCGATTTTAAAAAGATGCACTTTATTTTGTGGATTTATGAAATGTGTTTTAAGCCAACATAGAATCCGATCGCAGTACACCAAGAGTTTTGCTAATTAGGTAATTTTTAATAAATATTTATTCAAGTATAGTCTCAACTTTCATGCGTGATTATGTCATTCATCCGACTGCACTGTTATGGAACTGTGAAGAAGGAAGAAGCCCCATATTTTAACTATAATATAATTTTCAAAACATTTGTAATTGTCTTTAATTTATTTTTCAGATCTCTTATTTTCAAGCTTTATGTCAACTAGTATCAACATCAATAGAAAGTTACACTATCCTTAGTTTCTGTATACACATGTAACACTCAGAAGAAACTTTTTTTAATTGTACATTTATTTTGAAATTTTAGTAAATAAATGATTGTAAAACTGTCTGTTGGATTACATCCCATTGCAGAGATTCTATATAAACAATCCAAGTGATGTTTCAAAGCTGTGTGTGCAAACACAAGAGAAAAGAGCTTATCAGCCTGGTGACCGCACTCAAACACTGAATGAAGAGCAAGACTCTAGAGAGACAGAAGGAAATGGAGAGATGAGAGATGAAAGAGCGCAGACAGTCTTTAGGCTTTGTGTTTGTGAGGCCTTGACAAGACCAGCCTTTTGTCATCATAATCCCTGCTTATATTAAATGTTTATTACAATTTCAGAAGTATGCGAAGCATGTGATTCAAAACAACAGACCTGAACTATAGAGATGTCCCTATTGTATATATTTGATATGATAAAATATGTATTATATATGCCAAAACATAAACCACATATAGGTCGACCGCTATTACAATGTAATAATTATGGCATAAATAGAAAAAATATATATTACACATTTATAATGTATAGATAATAACCAATATTTTATACAAAATGTCTCCAAATATATAATTAGATTTGTTTATGTATTAACTTTATTCAAATACATTTCTATTATTGATAAAATATAAAGTTATGTATTGTAATAATTTATACTTTTTGACATAAATACAATATTTCAACTCAACAGAAAAATTCCTTACAAACAATTAAATGCAAAAAAGTGTTTTGTACATTTTAATTAACTATTTCAAAACAGATTTTTTTTTCTTTTTTTTTAAAGGGCACCAATGATGAAAATCATCTTTTGGAAGCTGTTTGGACAGAATTATGTGTAGGTGTAGTGTGTCCACAGTCATATTGGGGTAATATAAAGACAATAAGCCTCTTTTTTATTTCCTAATGTTAAATTAGGGTCCAAATCCCTCCCATTTTGAGGTGACATAAGAGTGCGGTTTTCCAAACCTACCGAATTGATTGACAGCCGGGTATTAACATGTCTCTGTAGTAATGCATGTAATCATATCAAGACAGGACATGCGCAAAGCAACTGGAGTTAAAAGATCTGTTCAGTTTTCTTTGATTATCAGTCATCATCAAATAAGATCAAGAATGAGTTTTACAAGTTTAAAACGTTCAGTGCATGTTTGTGATAAATTACAGCAATTTTTCAGTCTTTATTACTACTGCCGCAGTACAACTATAAATAAAGATGCTTTAATCCAGGATTGTGGATGTTAAATCAGGTTTATTTTGTATATTAAAATAATGGATTTCCACACAGCAGTGTACATTAACGTGTATCCAGTCACATTTGCAAGCAAAAACAGTGCAAAGTTAAACGCACACGCTGTGTGTGCATATGCATGAACTTTGTAAGAACACAGTGTGTGACTCATCGCAAGGCTTGAATTAACTCCACAACAAATACATCAAATAATCATTGGGAAAGTTCCTACTGTAGTATTTCCCACAAACTTTACGTGAGATCTGCTTCCTTCATGTCTGTCAGTGTGCTGTTTATCTGAACCAGCTGGACTGATTGAGGCACACTCTAATGGCGAGTACAGACTGCATGACTTTGGCCCTGATTTTGACTCGCCGACAGGTTTTGAGAAATTGCTGACAAATGCCTGAAATCACACGCAAATCGGTGTTCGTTCACGCAACCATCACACAATGTAAGCTATCAAAGACGCAATCTGAGAGAATCGCCGATGAGTTGCTGAAAATTGTCAGACATTGGGCATGCTAAATATCTGGAGCTAAGCTATTCAAATCATGCTGTGTGAAATGTGTTCTGATTGAAAATAACATTGACAATTACCTACAGCCAATGAGAGAGCAGCATCCACTTGTATTGGTATAGGCCATAAGGAGGCCTATACCCTCATTTTCAGTTTACCCAAGACCCAAGAAATGAAGGCAAAACTAGTGGAAATTTGGCAGGAGCACCCATGTCTGTTTGACGTGTCATCTGAGTGATATCACAACCAAGTAAAAAAAGAAAGTTGAGGAGAAATTGCTAATTCCTTTCAAAACCCAGGTGAGCAAAATAAGTATGTTTTAAACCCCACTAAAGGCTTCTTTCTTACTATGTAGTTCATAACAAAAGATAAATTACGTGACCTTGCATCGATTCCATGTCATTTCTTCTGTGTTTGTGAGACATAGTTTAGAAAAAGTTTTTGGGGATTCTTCCTATTCTAAAGTCAGTCTGAAACTTCCTGTCGCCGATCCAACCTACAGTGTAAACAGCACCGACAGAATGCTACCCCAGATAGTCATGCAATGTGAAAACATCTGTGGCACGACTATTTTGAAAATCATGCATGCGGAACAGGCATGTGGGAACAGTGGGCGGGTAAAACTAGCATTAAAGGCACAGGTAATAAAAACAGCTACATTGTGTTTAGAGCTGAAAACTCTAATATTCTGAAAGGTCTAATAAATAATCTGATGGGTGTTTGGAGCTGAAACACATTCTGAAGACAAAAAAGACTGATCTTAAATCTTAAAAAAGGGGTAAAATAGGTCAACCTTAAATAAGACTTCTTCAGCCTCATGGTTTCAATTTTCATACTGTGTTTCCATCGCAAGTTTTATATATTTATCTATCTATCTGTTTATATATTTAGCTAGAGTAAATACCCATGGGATTTGAGTTTAAATCTTAAAGAGATTTCATCTCAGATACTTCATTCTTTCATCTGTGTCTTTCTGTATCTCAACCCTCAATCAGAGCACCATGTCTCCTTCCAGAAAGAGCCTGGGTTGCCTATATTCCCCAGTATGGATACCCTAAATCTCCCTGTATTTCTATATGCTACTCTTGCCTAGCTAAAGAACACACAAAACTTTTACAAATAAATCTGGTTCTGTTTTAGTTTCTCATAATGTCGTAGTTCCCAGCCTTTCCATTAACTAACCACGATCAGACTGGAGGTTTAATTCCAGAAGATGGACTTTATTTAACATAAAGCTGAGAAAGCCAATTGCAAATTCCAGAGCAATCTGAAATCTCAGTTCACACTCATACACTACAGACAATTTAGCTAATTCAATTCACCTGTATCGCATGTCTTTGGACTGTGGGGGAAACCGGAGCACCCAGAAAAAACCCACACGAACACATGGAGAACATGCAAACTCCACACAGAAATGCCAACTGACCCAGCCGGGGCTCGAACCAGTGACCTTCTTGCTATGAGGCAATTGTGCTACCCACTGTGCCAACCTTGACTCCCCTCATGATGGTATATTAACTTAATAATATGTCCCTCACTCCTGAATATATCCCTTACTCCTGTCCCTTACTCCTGAATGCTTCTTACAGATATAGCTTCATATGAGCATTTAACAAATATAATTTAGGTTTAATTTTGATTATTTTAATAATCGATTAATCTGTCGGTTATTGTTTCGAATAATCAGATAAAAAACCAGGAAAACCATTTCCAACACTTTATACAAAAAAAGAATTTAAATATTTAGAAAGTGCAAACATGTTGCTCCTTGAACATGCCTGAGCTTTTATGATAATAAAATAAAAAAAACTAACCTAGTAGTTTTGTCCTGTTTTCAATCCAAATATCTAAAAATTATTAAATCAAGATACATACATGACAAATAAATTAAAAAGAAATTATGTCTTATTTTATGAAAAAAAAAACACCTCAAAATTGTGTGAAAAATGTGATTGTTTTTTGTTGTGATTGATTGTTTGCTTAAAACAAGCAAAAATATTTGCCAATGGGGTTGGAATCTTAATGAGATATAATTTCAAGCTGAGGTTTTAAGCATCACTTAATTTTCCCATCCCATTTTCTTCTTTAGAAATCTTAATTTAAGATTTTTTAGGATATTTGGACTTAAAACGAGACAAAATTACTAATAAAGAAATGTCCCCGCATCGCACAACACAAACAATCGATTAAGAAATTCGTTGCCAACTCTTTAAGTAATCATTTTTTATAGATTTAATGTATTCGTTGTTGTAGCCCTAATATAATTGGTGCTATATATATTTAGTTATTTTTCATATTCTGTTATTCGCCAGCATAGCTTTTCATAGTTGCTCTGGCTCATCTGCAGGCTGCTCATACCACAGTTTTAGCCTGGCTCAGTTATTTTCCAATACTTGTGTGACTATCTTTAGGTTACAAGTCTACTGTACACTTTTAGACACAATACTGCATACTTTCAGAGAATACATAATGTTCGTCAATAACTGCTTACACTGTAAAATAATCTGCATTCCACTTCCACACAATTCTTTCATGTTGTATCAACACAAACCGATTAAGTTTGCTTAATTGTTTTAACAAAGACCTCAAGAATTGTGTTGATTCAGTTCATCTTAAATATGTAGTTGGAACAAGTAGCAAAATCGTTTTTTTGAGAGTAAAACAGGGGGAACAAATTAAAATGTACTAAAACTGAAAGCACTTGTAATAATTTCTATTTAATCCCACATACAGTGCATCCGGAAAGTATTCATAGCGCTTCACTTTTTTCACATTTTTTATTTTACAGCCTTATTCCAAAATGGATTAAATTAATTTATTTCCTCAAAATTCTACACACAATACCCCATAACGATAATGCAAAAAAATTTTTTTTTTTAAATTGTTGCAAATTTATAAAAAATAAAATACATGTACCCAAGAATTCACAGTCTTTGCTCAATTCTTTGTTGATGCACCTTTGGCAGCAATTACAGCCTCAAGTGTTTCTGAATATGATGCCACAAGCTTGACACACCGGTCATCTTCCACTTATGAATGATTGCGGCCACTGTGCTAATTAGAACTTACAAAGCAGCAGAAATTTTTCTGTAATCTTCCCCAACCTTGTGGCTCAAGACAATACAATCTCGGAGACAATTCCCTTGTCTTCATGCTTGTTTTTTTGTGCTTTGTCATGCACTGTCAACCCTGGGACCTTGACAGGTGTATGCCTTTTCAAATCATGTCCAATCAACTTATTTACCACAGGTGAACTCCAATGAAGCTGCTTAATGATCTTGTTTTCACATCTTAAGAATGATCAGTGAAAACAGAATTTACCTGAGCTC